TGTTAATATTCTTGATATGTAAACACTATTGTATTTGTGCGTCAAAGTGCTTCAAATAACCTCTATTAAAATTTTTCGAAAACTCAAAAATTTTGTTAAAAAGAGCTCCAAATTTCGAATTTACAGTAGCGCTTCAGGGCTATTTCCTTAATAACGGCTCCAAATTGTTCTAAGGGAATTGCTTTTTAGGACGAGGTTTTATTGTTCTTTTATATTTTTAAAATATTATTTCCACTCTATAAGTAGGTATCAGAAAAATTAGGAAATTTAAAAAAAAATTAACTTTGGCGGCGATAAATGGCAGCAGGCAAGAGTATGTGGCATGTTCGTTTAGCTACCCGAAACCAAAGGAAAGGAGGACCAAAGGAAATAGTAAACTAATACGGGAAAGTCTGTGACATTCTGTAGCACCACTAGTTTCCTTTTTCACCGAGGTGCCGGTACGCCGTTCCATCGCGTTCCGCCAGAAATCAGGCCATATATAACGCGCGAGAACTCTCGCATGTTAAAATCCACCCTCTTTTCTATCTTTCCTTCCCCATATTAAGAGATGAAGTTGTTAACGAAACGTGTTTATTTCTTTCAAAAAATTGTAACTTCCAATGTATTTATAGAATTTTAAATAAAAATAAAGAAAATTGAAATGTTTGCAGCATATTTTGAATAAAGGCTTTTTCAGTGTTTATACATGTTCTTGAAACAATTCACAAAACTTTCTTAAAAACAGAATTTGAAGTAATTATACAATTTTCTTTTGACAGTTATCTGTTCACTTTCCTTGATAGTCACAAGAAAATACAAAAGCTTTTTACTATCGAGAAAGCTACTTAAAGTTGCTCATGCGAAAAATCCCTACTATTCGGAATATTATTTAACTTTATTGCCGATCTGAGAGGTACACCCGTGCAATTTAATTACCTAGAATATCAAGTAATTAGTTTCATTTCACATACAGGTTCAGATTCTGTATGTCACTGATTGTGCAGATTCTGGAGAAACTGTATTTTTATCACAAACATTTAACAGAAACAAGAGCGTCAATACTTACATTCGATAAACGAACAGTCACCCTACAAAATCTTCATCAGTATGAAGCAACTAGTAATACTTCTTGTTGCTGTCAGATCATTTAGGTTTATTTGCACAGGCGCGGATCCACGGGAAGGGAAATGGGCGAAATTTACCCTCCCAAATTTTTTCAGTAACTATTCATTTTAACTTGAAACGAAACTTTCGAGTAAACATATTTTCGTATAAAGATTCTAACGAACAAAGCTGTATCGCAATATGAGCTGAGTTTAGCTTGCGTCATTCTATATAATCTGTAATATGGCACATTCGACCTAAACATTTTGAATTAAAAAAATGTCCCCTCCCCCAAAATTCGTCTCTGGATCCGCCCCTGATTTGCATAATCTTGAATTAATGATTATGCAAATAAACCTCATCAGTCAAACCATGGTGCACACAGAAAGCATACATATAAGTTGGAGAAATCTAAACCGAATAAACGTGACAACACAAAGATCTCCTCCAGCGCTTAGTAATATAGTTGTTATTGGACAATACCGATAAGTGTCGGACCAGAAAAAATGTAATAGAATATTCAAATACATTGTATCCTGTATATTACGGCTTAATAAACTTTTCCTCGAAGCCTTTGGTCTCAATATTTCAAATTTTAAGACCCTAAAACGCTTCTTTTAGGAGTTATTTAACGAAATAGAGTCACAAATTCTGACAAGTGTTGTGGGTTGCATTTGGCATGAATATTTAGATACTTGTTTTTGTAAACAAATCCTTTATACGTTTGATCGTCTCCGTGAAATTATCTTTCTTTAGAGACCTTATTTATAGAGATCGGTTGCGCGTGAGAGCCGCAAAAGGTATGTATACCACTGAAATAATATAAGAGACGATCAGTGGCATAAGTCAACAGAAGGGCCCTTGGACCGGCACAATATGGGGGCCTCATAATTAAAGACATGCCATTAATTTAAATTCATGATTATAAACTAATTTTTCGGAGTGAAACCAATTTCAATAAATTATTACATAAAATAAATCATAATTTTTACAATTTCATGACAAAAATTTAAATTTTGATATTTTCTTCGAACTTACAGATTTATCAATGATAGAAGATATACTATTTTTCAACCACATCGTTTTTTCGAGTTCAATTGACAACATACTTAAAATTACTCGGTCTTATGCCAATTTACGCCGTAAATAATTTTAAATCAACTTTAATTTTGAAAACGTTCTATCAGCGCTGGCGACCGGGACACGAAGTATGAAAAATAGTGTTAATACTGTACACTCACCGGGAAAACTTACTTAATAATGATTAATGGGCAATGTTCAGTAATTAATAAGTTTGAAAGATCTTTAACAGATATTAGTTTAGAATTTTATTCGTTAAACAAATGCCCAAAGACAATAACTGATACGACATTTTTTCCGTAACATCTGCAGAAAGTAGATCATTAAGTTTGTTACTTCGTTCGTCATGAGTGAGTCGTTGATCCGAGCGAAGTTAGTTTACTGTGTCACCATCCTGAAGAAGCCTGCGATGTGACAGGCGAAACGTCGGCCTCTCTGCCAACGACGCGGCGTCACCCGGACAGCCTAGAAGTCATGAACTCGAGCCGCGGAAGCCTACGTGTACGAAGTTAGACAAAACGTAGTTTCATTCTCTATCATTTCTTCACTCAATTATCGCTAAATGTCACTTCTCCTTTCCAAACTGAATAATTCTGTTGTATTGATTTTACTTTCTCGCTTCTGCTTGCGCAGAACAGAGTAAGTATTGTAATGCTAAGGGAAACTAGTGGTGCTAAAACAGCATGTCCTTTCTCGCCTGTATTTTCACGCAAAGTACTTTAATTTTCAAAAAAATCTACATAAACTTAATTCAAAATCTACCTTTAAGGAACATTTTTCATTAAGGGAAAAACTTCGTGTTTAATTTTTTAGTTTTCTTTTTATTTTAGTTAGGAATTTTCGAAATATCAGGATTTTCAACGAACATGCGACCTGCACCATTCTCTTCACAATATCCAATAAAAAAAATTAAAAAATGATGGAGCCTTTTTTTAAAATTTGAAATATGTCTCAGACACTTCTTGTAACCCCCCCCCCCCGGAATTAAAATATCGGTTTCAAGTTGAAAGGGCTGTGACATCAGCCAAATCGATTAGGTAATGTCAATTTTGGAGAAAATCATGTGAACGATTCAGACATTTTGTTAGAAAATGTAATTTTTTATAAACTTGCAATCTATTAAAATACCCTGATCTTAGAGATACAAAGAAATCGTTCCTTGATGGCCATTAAGCTCATTTTTGAATATATTTTTAGGACGATGAAATTTACGTAGGACATACTCGTTTTCAAGTAAGATTATTTCTCTTTTTATCTAAATCCATCACTGATGTTAATATTTTCCACCAATTAATGCTAAGACCAAAGAAAACAAATTTGCTTGAGCAAACAGTAAAAAGTCCGAACTTCTCTATTATCATATATAAACATACATACAAAACATATATATACATACATACAAAAATTATTTGTATTTATTCTTGTTTGAAAATGAAAAACAAGAGCATGCAAAAAGTTACAATGATTTTGCAATTTTTGTGTCCATTTGATGTCATAAATCGAATGTTTCTGTTCTGAAGGCCAATGTTACATCATCCACTATCTCGTGAAATTCCAAAATAACACACAGATAAAATGCTTCAGTATGCAGCGTCAGTAATTCGTTTAGGAAATTTCCAATTAAAGAATGCATTCCTATCCAATTCATAATTTATCCCTGGGTAAAATGTGATTAATTTTATGTAGATTATCTTACAAAATCGCTTAATGAAAATGAAAATAAAAGATCTTTCAGATCTTTTAAATATGATTGCTCTATATTTCTCTACAGTCGAACCTAAAAAGTATTTCAGATCGGGGCCCAGTTTCAGTTCGGCACCCCATCATTAACGTAACAACAATAAAATGTAAAAACGCAACATTGCATTACTCGTAATACGGTCATTACTAACCCCATTGGTTGATGAGACTGTAATTAAAAATGTTTGGAAAATATTTAATTAATAATTATTTATAATTTATTGCTATCAAACGATACAAAAGGTCCTTTTGAGATTATATAAAGATCTATATTGCTAGTGGTTTGATTAGAGGCGTAACTTTCACTTCGAGACCCCGGAGGCTATAAGTAGAAGAACCTCCGCTCAACAACGAAATCCCTCTTCGGCAAGACAAAAACGAAAATAACCAAACAGTACTGAATATTACGATTATAATCCAAATATTATATATTTAGAAGTACCGACATATTTCTTTCGATGGGAAAATTAAATAAGCGACTGTGTGATCCAACGACCTCACAGTTTCACAACTACAAAATCCGCTCGATGTTCCTCAATAAATAATTACGTGAGGAAAATCGGAGAGCCGATCACGAGAAGCTTTTTGATGAAATTATAATGTGACGTTGGGGTAAAGCATGGTCGATGTTTCGCCAATTATTGATGATGGGAAAGAGCTGGTGGTGAAGTACGTAAGTCGAAAATAGTTCGAAATTTCGATTGTAGTGCTAAAATTTTAATGCTGGACAAACAGAAGCACACAGAAGTGGGTACAGCCTTTTTCCTTCCTTGCATTACAAATCGAGCTATTGTTCTGACTAGGCTTCAAATGGAAAAAGAAAGAAATTGAAGGTACCCACATTTATTTGCATGAGTAAGATAGTGTTTCTGACAATATTTAACAAGCAGAGGTCTTAACGCTATTGTTTCAACCCACTCCAAATCCGTCCCTGCGCTAAGTGCTAAGATAGCCGAAGAGTATGATACTCAACGCCCTTGTCCTATTTTGTAAGGCACTCAATCGTGTTCATCCGTGGCGGCTCAACCAACTCCCAACTCACGTGAGGTCCTGCTTCCTGTCCGAGTCTGCGAGTGGCAGTGACGCAGCGTTTTAACAACAGATTGACGTGTCATGCCTATTTGAATGACAGCAAATTACGAATCGGTGAACAGATTCATCGAAGTTGCCCACAATATAGGACCTGCAGCTGCAGTGAGTCACTCGGTCTTTTAACTTTGAACCTAAATAGTTGTTACACTCTACATAAATAATTATCAGCTGATTATCAGTGACGATTTTATCCTCCGTGACTTGCGTATTTACAAGACGTAGGCTTGTCCTTAGTGGTGGTTCTCAAGGTTCTTAGTACTATATAAGCTGACCGAACATCGTCTTATTTTTATTGACTTCGGTAGTTGACAGCATCCGGGTAAGTGCGATATCTTTAGTTGCTCAGTGGAAAACGCCGGAACATCCCTTTGTGTTCTATTTTTAAATTCTGTGCGGCAGTGGAATTACACTCTTGTTTTCTAACTTATTGGAACATTCAGATCATAACGAAATCTGTTTCGCGAGTGACAGCACGAAGTGAATTTGTCATACTTCAGTGTAAACGTGAAGTTGACTTTCAGTGAATATTGTTTAATTGCACGATCAACTTTTATTAATTTTCAATTTTTACAAGTTGAATAATTTATTACTGTGATTCAGTGCTTAAGGATCAACTTTCAGACTTATTACACAAGTACATTTGTTGTTTTAAAATGTTGGTTGCAGGTTTGCAGTTATTTGGAACTGCATTTTGTGCGTTGCGGTTTATTTCGCCTAGGTTTATTGCCATGGTAAGCATCTGAATTGGATTCGGTCAATCTTAAGGTTATATTTAAAGGTTATAGAGTAAAATTCATTGTTCTGTAGGCGCAAGCAGAGTCTGCCAAAGATTGGAAAAGTGCCTCATCCGTTTATGACTTCACAGTGAAAGATATCAAAGGCGATGATGTCTCCCTGGAAAAATACAAGTGGGTACTATTCCCATTGTAAATAATGTGTTACATGTAAGTTTGTTGTTTGATCACTTAAATAAGATAAAATCTTTAATTTTTCAGAGGTCATGTCTTAATAATTGTAAATGTTGCATCACAATGTGGACTGACTCCTACAAATTACAAAGAACTGAATGAATTGTATGAAGAATATAAGGACACCAAAGGGTTGCGGATTCTGGGATTTCCATGTAATCAGTTTGCAGGGCAGGTAAATTTAGTATTTAGATGTCAGTGATCCATTTAAAATGCTTTATTCTGTACACTTTAACATGTTAATTGTTTTCCCATTTTCTAAAATATATTTTCTCCAATTTCAATATTTGTTTCAAAGGAACCTGGAGGCTCAGAGGAGATACAGTGCTTTGCTCTGAAAAGCAATGTAAAGTTCGATTTGTTTCAAAAAGTTGATGTGAATGGAGATAATGCTAGTCCTCTGTGGAAGTACTTGAAAATGAAGCAAGGAGGCACTCTAGGAGAGTAAGTCTAAAAGTCTTAACTGTAGGAAGTGTTATCATAAAAGTATTTATTTTATCTTTGGATCTTAGTCATATCTCAGGATTAAAACAAGTATTATGAAAGGGGGAGGGGAGTAAACATTGGGAAACAAAGAAATCTAACATGAGAGATATATAGTTGCCACATAATCTTACAAATTTCTGAAATCCAAATTTAATATTAATTTTATTAAATATTACTGAATATATAGACAAAAATTTTGATTAAAAAACAGCTTTGTTGAGTTCTATTTCAGTATATTTTGTGTGTTTTTGAGCAAATCATAAAAGAACTGAACTACCCATCGTTTGATGTTGACATTCATTTTTTAAGTTAACAAAATAATTTGAAACCTTACTGGAATCAATGTGTATCTAAAATTTAAAGTTGTAAATGTTAAAAAGTACCTGATTTCGTGTACATACAGTCATTACTGTATATTTTGAACCATAATGTTTATGAATATGTTATTTCAATTATTTTTACTTTCTGAACTTTATATAAATGCTTTTTTTCCCTGCAGTTTCATAAAGTGGAACTTTACCAAGTTCATAATTGACAAAAATGGACAACCTGTGGAACGTCATGGGCCAAAAACTGATCCGAAAGTATGTATCATGTGTTTTCTGTGTTACCTTGACTTGCAAATAATTAGATGTATGGAATTTCATTTACTTAACTGTGCATTTCTCTCAATTAACAGAAACTGATCCCATCATTGGAGAAATATTGGTGAAACAAGTACTGCTTGTCTTGAAGTGGAAAAGACTGGATTTAGATATATATTAATTCTAATATAGAATACATTTATATTTACACAATTGCTTTGTTGAAAAATGAATATCCTCTCTGTCATTTAATCTCAGAAAATCTTTTTGCAAATCAGTTTTGTAAATATTCTGCTACAAACCATTTTGTGAAATAGAGCAAAATGCAGGTTTTGAAATTTCAATTTTACGTATAAGCAAATTTCTTTTGTAAGAAGTTAATAAAGGTTATGATTGTTTGTACACCTTTTGTCATCAGTTAATTTGTCAACAATAAGCTAAAGTTATTGCAGTTTTGTAAAATACTGTATTTAATGATGCATTGCTGTGGATGTTATGTTAAGATCACATGTATATTTTTTATGCTATATTAAATGTGATATTTCCGATTCCTTTTTCTTAATTGTTTTTTTTCATTTCTAATCTATGACATCTGAAAACAAATTTTTTTGTCCCTTTGAATATTCAGAAAAGAATTTGAGAGTTGTATGAAGAAAGAAAGACATTTTTTAATGAATTTATTAAGCATATTCCACAAATACTATGCAAGGGAGTTTTTGTTTGGAAACCTTAGTTTTGAAATGTTTTTAAATTGATGTAGGTATTTATTATTTAGTATATAAATACATTGCAGTTCTTTGATTGTAGCAAGATAAAATGACTAACTAGAAAATATTTCACCATTATGAAGTTGGGTAATTTTGAAACTTATACCAAAAATGTAAAAGGTTTAGATCACTTTGCAGGTTTTGTAAATAATCTTGGTTATGGTTCATTTTCTAGTTATTCTGTGACTGAATATTGTAATAACAAAACTATAATATTGGTATTCAACTCTGGTGAAGTCTTGTTATGTTTGACTCTAATGGGTTATTCATGAGACATGATGTGACTTGTGTTTTAATAGTCTGAGTCTTGTTTATGGCTCTGGCAGTGATGTAGAATAACTGCAAAGAGTAAAGACCAGTATGTACGACTCGTGCTTCTCAAATTAAGTTTGAAAACAGTGAAAAAATGGTTTTATTTCGGTATATATTACTATTTTGACTACTTGATCTTTTATATGTTGCTAGTTCTTCAGAAACACCTACCTTCTCTATGTATTATTGCAGATTTTATGACAATGTATAATGGCTCATTTAATAATGTGTGTATAACATTTTATTTTGTACAGCAAAATATCATCTTACAAATTATTTTTCTGGGGATTGTGCTTATCACAATTTTTCCAGCCATTGAATTCTACTTTCAGTGATTTTGAAGGTAGTCTTATTGCACTTCAAGTTGATACTTTGAGTTGGCCTCAGGTAATGATATTGGAGAATCTCAGCTTTTCTCTAAAAATATCAAGGACTATTTGCTGTGTAATGTGTAATTGGCTGTGTCACTGTATTGACAGGTTGGATTATTAAAAACAATGTTTTTAATTTTATTTAAAATGTGGATTCATGGAGTTCTTCCGTTTGAAGTTGAGCTACCGTTAAGTCAGCTAGTTAAGGAATCCCGAGATCAAAAAGGAATGATCATGGTAAGATTAATGTATTGATGCAAAGCCTTAATATTAATTAGTACAACATACATAAAGTTGTAGACTCCCCAAAATTAAATATTGAATAAAACCAATTTAAAAAATGTTTAAAATCATTGCATTATCTAAGAAGCAAATTATCTATGACAAAGCTTATAGCAGAAAAAATGTTTTTTCAACTTACAGATCTCTTTCAGAGGTATTCTGTCTTCTTCAGTATTAGAAATATTTAAATAATCTAAACAATTTGTGATGTCAACACATTTGGATAAATAACATGGTTTTCATTTATTTCATATTGTTTTGAGAATAAACAGATAAAAAGTGTTCTGCTAAGATAATCTAAATATCTAGATAACTAAATATCTTCAAGATCATTGTTAATGTTATAGTAAATGTGAAATTAGGATCTTTTTTATAAATATTAACCAAACTAAAACTAATATTAATATTTAGAATATTAATTTTATAACTGAGCTAATAATTTATTATTTAATTTTATTTTATATAATTTATTATTCAATTCATATATTCAATTTTCTCTGTTTCTAGGACATTAGTAAATGTAATTATTATTACAAGAATTTGTCATACACTCTTTCATCAAGAAATTTCAGTCATATTTTTCCACATGAAACAATGGTAATTGTATGAGATTAGATTCAAGTCTATTTTTACACATTCCTTTCTTTGTCTTTATAGTTAATAGTAAATCAGAAAGAACTTTTATCTGTACACAGATAATTTCATGGCAAAAAATAGTAAATGGTCTGCGTATTTTACTCCATTACACTCTTTGCTCCATCGTCAGTGCCATACTCTCTTAGCCCAGCAATTTGTGTTCTGGAACATATGGAGTTTTGTAAAATTCAGGTAAATAATTCCTTAAACTCTAATGACACTTATAAACTATTTTATACAAAAAAATAATTTGGCCTTCTTTTTGTTGTGATAAAAAGCAAAAATGAAATATAAGTAGACAGCGTGCAAATTGACAATTTTGTCTATGGGGTGGGTGTAATCAAACAAAACAAGTAAACAATCATAGGTGACATGAAAAACTAGCACTAGAGATGTCTGTGATTAATAAATCCGTGGATTGAAGTGAAGACAATCTTTGCTTTGGCACCATAGTCTGGTTGAATCTTAAAAATGTTTTCTTTTTCAAATTCCTGGATTTAAACACTTCAATCTGTGAAAATCATAATTGAGGCACCTAGAAACCCCAGTCAGTTTGCATCCTGTTGGTATGAATTCCTTCAAGTCAGTGAAAAGCATTGAAACTATATTTTGTTTGATTTCTCAGCTTAAAAGAATATGCAGGAGTGTGTGTCTATCAATGACATCAATTGCAGTTCTCATCAGTTATGTGATGAATCAAGAACACAAAGAAAGAAGTAGATATCAACACTTCAGTTAACAATGAGTTATTTAAGTTAACATGGACATTTTGACAATTGAAACGATTCTATAGGGAAGATAGAAGCCCACATTAGCTGATACCTATTAATGGTTATTTTAATTTTCTAATGATTTATTGAATTTAAATAATGGAATAACCTGGCTGATTTCTCAAAAATTATATAAGATGGGAAGAAATAGAAGGTAAATCTGGTTTCAGCATTTTGTTTAATGTTGGAATCACCCATGTTTATCCAGGAGCCAGCAAAATAGTTAAAATTAGGTGTCCAAGGTAGGCATAAAAATGGTAATGTTTTTCAAAAACAAATTAATGTTTATAATACAGCGATTAGCATAGATTTTGTGTACTTTTCTTGACCATTATTTTCAATAAATGATCACTTTTTCTGTTTGTGTTATGCAATATTTAATACTTCTTAATGATAATGAGCACTTTGTGCCTTCTCCCTTCTTTCCTACACACACTCTCAACCATTTAGTTTCTGGGATTTGTATACAGCACAAACTTGTATACAACTCATAGTCATTCCCCCATTCCCAAAGTGTTAGGCATCTGAAAACATTATTTTCCCTTTAATTATTAATTCTGTAATCACCGGACTTCAGCATATTATTAATTTAATTAAGGTATATTAATTGTAGATAGTTGCATTGGTAAAGTTGAATAAATGATTTTATTGTAATCTGTTAAAAAAACATTTGTTTTAAGTTATGCAGGATAAACTCCTCTTCAACCTAGAAATAGACAAATGCCCAACTCATAATTCGTTTTGTTGAAGATAAGTGGTGAAGTTCCAATGGCTGCAATTAGAGAAGAACATGTTATCTACTTTTTCCAAATAATGAGAAGAGAAGAAAAGAAAGTTAAATGTTGAGGGCCCAAAGTGTCAATTAATCGCATCCACCTTACTAATATTTTTATGTTTTTAATGACTTGTATCAACTGAATTTCTGACTGTTCTTTTTGTAAATGTTTTTGAGATTCATGCCTCATCTTTCCTTGTTTATTTCTTCTACTCTGTATTTTGCTTGATTTGTACAATTTATCATCTCTGACTTTCACTTTTTTTTCTTAGTATATTCTAATAATTTTGTTATCTTATGCCTTCCCTTTACCATTGTTCCTTTCCATTAACTTCATCACAAAATTACACAAAATTTCAGCTGAAACCACAATAAATAATTTGAACTGCATTCTTTGATGTCATTACACATTTCTCAGCGTAATGGAAATGAGGTCTGAAGCCAGGGGCACATTATGGGAAGAAACTTGGATTATTGTCCAGCAGCAACTGATAATAATCAATGCAAAACTTCATATTGTAGGCTGTATATTTACAATTATCTCCAAATCTTGAAAGGTTGAGTTGATAAAATCATGATGTTTTTGGGAGGCATTTAACTTAAATGTTATATTACATTAGAAAAGTTGTTTGAAGACCAAAGTCCTGGCAAAATATTTTAAAATTAAATTATTTGTAAATAAGGTAAAAATTAAAGAATAATAACTCTTCATTGGCTTTATTATAGATCTAATTGCTAAATTTTTAGAGAAACTTGCCAGATAGTATTTTGGCTGTTAAAATTATACTTGTTCAATAATTCCCCATTCAATAATATTTGCTGATTCATACCTCAAACTAATATATGATTCACTGTCAGAAATTTACAAAATTCACCTGAACTCAATTCTCATTATTTATGTGATACTTTCACAACATTCAAGCTAGTGAATTGTATTACTATTGAATTCATTACCTGAAGTTCGGTAGGCATAATATACAATCAGTGCAGCTAAGTTAAAACGAATCTCGTGTTGAGTGTTGACTATGAAAGGAATTTGGAAGTGTCTCTTTTATATAAGATTCTTGCATTTCATAGAAATAGGATGGTTGAGAACTAAGGCATTTCGAGACATAAATATGTTGAATTTGTATCAATGACATGATTTGCTCTTATATTATTTGTAAAAGAATCTTAACTTATCTTCACTTCATATCTACTCATTATGTCTTCTTCCACTTCTGTTTATTCAAATATTGTATGTATTTGAACAATGTATCTCAATTCTATACTGTTGGCCACATAAACATATAATTCCTCAGTATCAAATCAGTGTAATCCTTCTGATGTGAAATATTTTAATAATTATCACAAAAATGTTCAGAATTTAATATGATGCTTAAGTAATCTATGAGCTTCTTGAAGTAGAAGGAGTAGTCTGGATTTCAAAGTGCATATTTTCTATGTTTAAAATGACACAGAAAATGATAAAGTTTCTTTATTGTTAAACCCATTGAGAAGTTTTCTGCTTAGTTTCATTTTGCATAATTCACGGTTTAGGCCATTAAAAAAAATCTTTAATTATGTTTATATATATCATAAGTAGAATAAAATAGAAGTACTAGAGTAAATAGGAAAAATATTCCTCCAAATTTAAAACATAAAAGCTCTTTGAAATTGTGGAACATAGTAACTTTCAGTTTCCACATTAAAGAAACATAGGTCAATAGTAATAACAACAGCAGCAACAACAACAACAACAACAACAACAACAACAACAACAATAATAATAATAATAATAATAATAATAATAATAATAATAACAATAATAATAATATTGTATTTGTCAATGAGAATTGTTTCTAAGAAAGTATTTCAAGTTACTTATATTCTTTTGCACAATTCTGTAGTTACGTTCACATTCTCACTCACACACTTGGCTAGTGAGGGTGTGGGTTGGGCAGTATTTAAATAAATGTATTTAGGAAAATATCAAATACATTTTGTATTTGATAAACTATTTTGAGTTTTTTGGACATGTATTTTGGAGATATATTTAAATACATAAAATAGGAGTATTTAAAAAAAGAAATGTTTCAAATACAAATGAACATGAAGTTTAAGGAAGATAGTTTCTTTTTGATTGACAGTGAATGCACCTTGTTGAAACAAAACAAAAGTTTTTATTCATTATAACTCTATTTTATGTTCATCCGCACCAGTAAAATGACGACATTTGCAGGTTTTATACATTTGCCAATAAGGGTTTAATTGCTTGTAGATTTGTTTGAAAAATTAGTCATTTTAAAGGAAATTGCATGTATTTGTCATTATCTTTCTTTACAGATTAAGCATATTGCCTTTTCCAACTGTATTTGTGATTGACATATTTTTTATACTATTTTATAATTGAAAGTATTTATACATATTGATGCAATATGTATGTGGAGCGTTCAATAAGTTGTTTACCTGGCCAAGAATGTGAAATTTTAAATATTGAAAATCACCTCTACTTTTCAGTGCAGTCCCCATTGACATCAACATACTTCGTCTGTTTTGCCCCTAGAGATCGAGTACCCTAAGAAAAGAAGGGAAAAATTTTGACTGTACAGACACCCCATTACAGATTCCTCAAACTGATTCAGCGTCAGGAAATCGTCTTCCACGCACTTTTTTATACACTTTTTCGCACTTACTAACGTTAAAAGAGAAAGTATTGTAATCATACGCCGGAAAACGTCGAATTTTCGACACAAAAACTTTTATTGCCAGGCCCTGGCTAGCAAAAAATGATAAATCCAGTTACAAAATGTGGGGAAAAAATCCTCTTAACACGCCAGATACCATGTTTTGTGCGTCTTTCATACCGAAAAATCGATTGATGGCAAAACGTCTGTCTGTCCGTCCGCCTGTGCACAAGGCTTTCTCCAAAATTGATATTCCCAAATCATTCTAGATGATGTTGCAGACTCTGGAATTTGAAACCGAAATTTTAATTTTAGGGGGCACTTTACATGAAGACCCTAGAACATTTTCAAAATTTCAAAAAAATGGAAGCAAGTTTTTTGATTAAATTTTGTTGATGAGTGCAAAAAAAGGTTTAAGAGAATGGTGGAGGTCTTATTTTCGTTAACATCTTCGACTTTCCGAAAAATTGAAAGAAAAAAAAATTAACTTTAAAATTGGATATAAAAATTTGTCTCAAAGTCTGTCGTACAAAATTAGCTCCTCAAGAAAGGTAATGTACAATGTTAGATTTGATAGATTTATTCAGTCAAAAAACAGTAAAAACTGAATGTGACGTAGGGGGGGGGGGATATTGTCTGCGCACGTTTTCTAAAGTTCCAGAACCCCTTCCCGTCATTTTAACTATAAATAGTTGAAAGATGAGTAAAAGTTTAACATAAATAAATAAAAATAAATTTTAAAAATCGCAAGATTAGCAATATTGGTCATTTTCATTTCCAAGTTATAGAAAACTTATTTGCATCGGTAAACGAATTGCAAGCATAATTTTTCTGCGTTGCTAACAAAATAGCAACTCGCCCTTACCTCTCTCTTACCATTACAAGCAAAAGTAGAGTTCAACAAAACGCGGATAGTGATGCTACATTTACGTCCAGAAGCAAAACAAGGGGCCATCTCAGCATTTGCTCAATGGATCAGGGAAACTGGACAAAAACCTGATCGAGATGGGAGTCATTAACCGGGAAGCTGAAGTACATTATTTGTTACAAGCATATTAAGTCTTTTAAACAAATCATACAATACACATGTAAATTAATTATTATATATCACTGTTTTGTTAAAATAAACATTATTTTTCTTTTTGATAATCAGTATGGTCTCTAATTGTATAGGGACAGTTATGCAGCAGAAAAGATTTTACGTTTACCTTAAATTTGTGACAGTACGTTGTAAAGAAACGTACGTGTATTGTATGTGGGTTTCTGATAGTGAGCTGTTGATACTGATACTCGATGAACGTGATTTTTACGACCTATGTTGTAATTATAAATATCAGCATTGAATGAAAATGTGTTCCCACCGTTAAGTAAGTCACTTTAGACAAATATTACAGATTCGTAAATATATAGGCAAGGCAGTGGTAAGATTCCAAGCTCAATGAAGAGAGTTCCATTTAAGGTTTGACTGAATTGAGAGACTTAGAGATTTTGTTACCTGAACATCAGCTAATTGCACATTATTCATTTTCAATGGAGCATGCGATTGCTGATTTGAAATGCAAAAATGCATTGAAACTGTTTTTCCTTTATTAACCATTAGTTTGTTATTACAAAACCAATTTGAAACTTCTAAAATCGTACTATTTATTGTTTCTTTTTTTGGAAAGAACATTCGTGTCATCGGCAAACGGAACCGTTCTTCCGTTTTTAATAGACGACGGCATATTGTTTACGTATAACAGAAAGAGGATAGGACCTAAGATCAAGCCTTGCGGAACCCCGTATTCAATTGGTAAAGAATTGAAAAGATAAGTAAATAATGTCCTTTCATGCCAGTACGGTTTTTCTACTTTTTGAGATCGATGTTTAAGATACGTGGTTATCCAATCTAGGGCGATACCACGAATTCCATAAGAAGGTAATTTTGACAGCAAGATGTTATGGTCAATAACGTCAAAAGCTTTCAAAAGATCTAAAAATATCTCATTTGATGCTTCATTTTGATTCATTGATGAAGCAACATCTGTAAGAAAAGAATAAATGGCAGTTTCCGTTGATTTTGATTTTCTAAACCCGTGTTGTGAGACTGAAAACGCACCGTTTTTCCTGAGAAAAGTTTCTATTCGCGTATAGAAGAGCCTCTCTAATATTTTAGAAAAACCTAACAAAAGAGAAATTGGTCGGTAATTTTGCATTTCATTTTTGTTCTCTTTTTTAAAAAGTGGCTTAATTTTGCCTAGCATTAAGATGTGATAGCTCAAAATGCAAGCATTTTTTCAGATAACTGAGCAACAGGTCCAGTAGTATTCAACTTCATGCGTTTTAAATGTTCAGACTTTACAAAAAACAGTCGTTTGGTCTGCTTTTAATATATCCATGCTTCACTGACAACTATTGATCAAGACAACTAGGTTTCATGGGATCCTTGCTCAATACTTCATAGCAAATAACACACAGAGGATGTTCGGCGCCACCGTTAATCATGCAAATAAACCCATATTTAATTTAATTATTGGTACACTTGCGAGTTTTTGCTGAGCTCATCATGAACGATGTTTTCTGTCACAAATCACATAAAGCAACAAGGTAACTACGACAATAAAATTGAGTCGATGGGTCCCGCACCCCGTTCAGTTGTCTGTATGCCTCTCTTGGGGGCGCACCCCCCACTTTGAAAATCAATGCTTTACATGAAGAGGATTCTATGAAACATTTTTAAACTTTTCTCACAAACCCTTCATTTTTCACAAGTTTTAATCGAATATAGCAGTGTACCTTGTCAACAAGAATTATACACGTTTCGGTACCATTCAAAACAATTTTTTCTGTTGAAAAATAACCATTTCTATTGCAGGATTACAGTACTTTTCTACGTAAGTAATATGAGAGAAAGTAAAATGGTGCAAGTCCGATTTTCTAGCCTCTGAATTTTAAATATTGCAAAATTTAAATGTTTTTCGACCTATATTTACAATTCTACTCTTTAAAACTTGGGGGTTCTATAATAATTCACATCATTGGAGTGCCCAATATACTTGTCGAAAATCAGTCGCTTTCGGAACTCAAATCTAATATTAAAGTCTCTCGATCTACAAAGCTATACATATTTATTGACTCATGTTAACGTACCTGAGTTATGTTTCCTTAAATTTTGTATCATTTACCTTTAATCTTGTCTGATTTTGTACACATCAGCCATTTCTTTCCCATGTTTCTAAATTCTAGGCGAATTTCTTGATAGTTGTTACTTAACTTTCAACTTCACTGTGTATTAGGAGAAATTGACCTTAACGGAAAACGTCAATGTCAATGTCAATGTCAGACACTTTTTTTTTTTTTGAACTTATCAAGTGGTTAAGGACAACGTTACATTAAGAAACAGTTGTCATAATTACTGACGCAACCAAATATTGTAAGCGAGTGAACACAGTAATGTTTACAAGTGCTAATTAATGATGTTTATTCAGGGGCGAATGCAGAGACAAATTTTAGGAGGCGAAATTCAAAATGTTTTGGTCGAATGTGTCATATTACAGAGTTTCTAAAATGTCGCAGGTTACATTCAGCTCATTCTGCGATACGTTATTAGTTTTAATAATTACACAAAAACATGTTTGCTTGAAAGTTTCGAAAATTAATAGATACTGAAAAATTTTAGGGGGGATTTCCCTCATTTCATTCCCCGTGGATCTGTGCCTTCTTTATTACAATATTTTGTATGAGTAACATTTTGAATCATAGGTCCTTGTTGTTTAACATGCAATGTTTCATTGTACTATTGCAATTGCGTTGCAGTTGATCCTTGGTTTTCATCATCTGGACCCAGTAGATGAAGCTTTAATGTAGACCATAATAATGTAACTGTAGAGAGAAGAGAAACTTCGTTGATGAAGTTCGCCGGTTTTAGACAATCTTATACTTACCTAATCCAGCGTAATGTTATCAGAAACAGCTGATCTGTGGGTCATGGCCGTGACGGGAAGTCTCTGTCAGTCTGTTCTGAATCTTTGCAAAGAAGGGCTTCGACGATACATTTGCTTGTGAGTGAACGGCATTCGTGTGTTAAATATCAAGAGCAGTTAGCGTACTTGTACGGATTCCATCATCTGCAAATAGTGCAGACATCACGAGGATTAGTTGTGGTTTTTACTTTTAATTTTGATTTGTGTGAAATAATTTGGTACTACACGTACATTGCGTGTGAGATTGTTGTATGTTACATTGTCAAAGTTGGATTTTCTATTCTTAGGAATTAATATTACTTTCCGAGTTGATCGTGAATCAATATATTGCAAGCAAAGAGTGAAATAAATTTGCTTTGAAATTACCGAACTTAACATAGAGTTTATTATTCGTTGTTTCTTTAACAGTTATGTTCTCACGGAATATGATGCCTAGTACCAACTGCATTGTAACTAACTCGATTAAGAAGGTTAAGGGAAAAGATTTTCTATCGCTAAGGATTGTCGATCTCACTCAACGTCCTCGGTTGCTAGCAAGCGCCAGAGCGCGGGGGGACAGACTCCTAACGTTAGACAATCTGAATCCGTGCATCAAAGCGATGGAATACGCGGTTCGCGGCCCTCTTGTAACTCGAGCATTAGAAATCGAGAAGGAACTGAAGCAGGTAAATCACATTAAAACTGCTCATTCAACGCATGTACCCGTGTTTTTACAATATTTACGTTGTCGAAAAAAAATTAATATTACATAGGGATCGTATTTATTGGCGTCTTACTTTAAATGCCAAATTATTTCTTTTTTATATTTGAATTTTCTTACAGTACGCCTCAATTCGTAGAAAAGGTCTGTAAATTAAGTTTCTCTCCCATAAACAGAATTTTCCCTGTTTGTTAAAGGTAAATAAATATTCATGACATAGTAAATGGTATTGCGATTGTGCCTTTAGAGGAAGTTTGCACATGAGTTTGTAATGTGATGCCATAAACGTCTTTTTGAATGTTAATCAGAAAATATTATTTCCTTCTCAGGGCACAAAAAACCTATTTAATGAAGTTATCAAAGCTAATATTGGTGACAGTCAAGCCATGGGACAAACGCCAATTACATTTGTTAGACAGGTAGGCCACGTCATTTTTATTTATCAATTAATATCTTCTTAAATACATCTTAATAATGTGCGCTTAGTTTATAGGTCATGGCACTGGTGACTTATCCTGAGCTAATGAAAGTTTCAATATTTCCTGACGATGTTAAGGAGAGAGCAAAATTGCTTCTTACTGGGTGCCGCGGAGAAAGTGCTGGTGAATAAAAGTTTGAAATTAATTATCTTCTGACAGAAAATGAATTAATAATAAAAATCGCACACTTTTTGTGAACTTTATTACATGTTTACATTTTAGGAGCTTATCCATTATCGCCTGGTAATGAATTTGTTTGCCGACATGTGGCTGAATATATCGAAAAAAGAGATGGATTCCCTTGCGATTCAAAAAATATAATTTTGTGCGCTGGCGCTACAGAAGGCATAAAAGTATGTATGAATTAAACAAGAATGGCTGAATTTAGAAACTTAGACATATTTTCACTTGTCATGAAAGCATTTTAATTATTATTACACCAGATGAAATAGAAAAATATCTGGAACAGATAGCACTTGATGAATAATTTACTGAGAATGCTCTTCTGATTGATCGTTTTCATCATCATCATCAGCAGCAGTAGCAGCTGCAGCGTCAGTTTAGTTTGACTAAATTAGCATATTATGAAAATGCTGCTAGTGAAGTAGTTTTGCGTCTTATCTTTTACGGCATTACAGGATTGCTCGATCAGTCCCTTAATCTCAACAGATTAACAGTATCCTTAATAGCTGCTCTAATTGGTTTTGTTTATAAACTTTTGACTCTTGCCGGCTAATCCTCAATTCTTTTTCCATTTCTTCATTTCCAATGTCATGTATCAATGTAATGAGTCGAATCTTCAAAATCTTAAATATTATTTTTTTCTTTCTTTTGTCGACTTTGGGCGTTGTTTCCCTGTTTGCAAATCATCTAGGAAAGCTCTGAACAATTTGGGAGCCCGCCATTTGGCTGTGCTATGCACCCATCACTCGAAAAGGGCTTTTTTAAGCTTTCCCTTCCAAAGAAATGATCACTTGTTTCTATTTTAAAACGATTTGTTATAATATACCTGGTTGCCACAAAGATGCTAATGCTTCTGATACGTTTACAGCAAATCTTAAAACTTTTAATTTGTGAAACTGAAGGTCTCAAACCAGCTATTATGGTGCCTGTACCTCAGTACCCATTGTATTCTTCGACAACCACAGAGTTTGGAATGCAACAAGTTTGTATTTTTTTAATTAAATAAATGTTCATTTTCTATCAGCAATGTCCCTGTTATGTCTAGCGTTAATTGTGTTTTCTAGGTCGATTACTATTTAGATGAATCCAGAGGTTGGGCGTTAACGACAAAAGAACTGACCCGAGCGCTCAACGATGCCAAAGGGCTGTGTAATCCTCGGGCTCTTGTTGTTATCAACCCGGGAAATCCCACAGGTAAACATATGGAACTTCATCACCTGCCTTATACCAGAAATTCAATCGTTTAGTTGAAACAGGAAATATTTATGCCGCAAAATTATTTAGCTGCATAATGCCTGTCATTCGGTTCCTATTTATTCTTCTGACAGGCGAAAAATAAAGTTAATTAAACTGTGAATGGGTATAACCAGATGGCAGCTAATAACCTAAATAAATAATATAACTGGCAGGCTAATTACATAATAATATAATAATAATAATGTTATTATTAATATAAAAACTGACTGATTCAAAAAACACTAAATAACCGTATATAAAAGAAATTTCTATAATCTAACAAGCACTGAATGTTTGTTCAATTAAGATCACACTGGCTGCTCTATGCCTCTTAAAATATTGAGACGTTAGTTTATTTCCTTTTCTCTGTAAATGGTAAAGTGAACCCAGCGTACTGTTTACTGACACTGAGAATCTATCATTAAAGATACATATAAACTAGTGGTTCCACAACACAACATACTTTCTCGTATTACATCTAATTTGCAATTTTCAAAAAATTAGAGTTTAACTAAAAAGAGATTCGCACCATTCTTTTAAGCATCCCTTCTTCTATCCGTGTTTGACGAAAAACGTGGAGCGATTTTTGAGAAAGTATTTTTTTATAAATTTTATAAATTTCTGACACAAAATACGCAAAATTTGCTAGTTTTTCAACAAACTCTTCATGACCTTTTTGGAGCTAATTTTGCAATTTTCGAAAAAAAAAACGGAGTTTGCCAAAAATGAAACTAGCACCATATTTTTATCTCCACTTGATACATAAGGAGAGAAAGTTAAAAGAAAAAAATTAGATCGGGATTTAAGAAATTAATGTTGAAAAAATTCCTTTGCCTATATTTTGGGCAAAATTTCACGAAAACTACTCTTGTTTTCGATAATTTAATTTGAACTTATTTTAAGACATGTCTTTAAAGAACACATTTCATTAAGGAAAAAGTCTTTCTTCAATAAAATAGTTGTAGGAAGACGCCCCCAAACATGGACGTCTGCAATTTAAAAAAATCAGGAATTATAACGTGAAACATTCTTGTAAGTCCTTTACGCTACACGATAACAAAGTTTAATGAAAAAATTTAGAGCCATTTTTGAGAAAATTTTTAATTTTTTGAGGCTTCTTGTAAATTATTCTCAAAAATCAAAATTTCCTGATGAAACTCTCAAAGCCGTGAGTTCATTTAGATTGATCGGGAAATATCCATTTTGGAGAAAATCGTCTGAACGGTTTAGTGGTTAGCGTTCACCACAGACTGACAGACAGACGTTTTGCCGTAAATCGATTTTTGGTACAGACCCTCAAAACATGGATTCTGGCTACACCACGTGTTAGAGGAAACAATTTTCTATCAATATAGGAACAAGATATATACACTTTTTCCTTATTCTTAATTTTAGGTACCTTGTACTTTTTTGTTACCAGGGCACGACAATAAAAGTTTTCTGCCGAAAATTCGTTTTCCGTAAAGGTAGCAGGATATAATTACGAATCATAAGAAAGTAAAAAGAATCAAATTAATGTAAATTTCCACTTGTGTGTAATAATTTTCGACGTGTGTTTCTGTATTTCATTTTATTTTTCAGGCCAGGTTCTCACTAAAGAAAATATTGAAGAAATCATAAATTTTGCATATGAAAAAGGCTTGATTTTGCTGGCAGATGAAGTATGTAGAAATAACGTATTTCGAACTGCTGAATGTTCGATGCAGTAATATAATGGCGAGATAATGATAATTGAGATATAACTTCGTTTTATTGAATGTTTTCCTCTTGCAATTAGGTATATCAGAATAACATTTATGACAAGAACAGTGAATTTCATTCTTTTAAAAAAGTCATGATGCAAATGGGTCCACCATATTGCGAAATGGAATTAGCCAGCTTCATGTCTTCCTCCAAAGGTACTGTTCAACCCACTATTTAAAAAAAATGGTGTACGAGTTTTTTTTATTGAAATGACCCCCAATTCATGCAAAATAAATGATTTTCATTAAATATAAATTATTTTTTAATTACATTGTATTATTCTATACAAGTATCTGCAATGTAAAATGTTCAAAGAAAACAAAAATGTGTCACAACGTACGAAAAGTCATTACTTCGAACTGGAGTGTTGAAATTTTAAAAAGATACTTGGCGGAGGAACCGACATTACAAATAAAGCAATAGTACAATGTTTAAGTCGTGTATGACAAAAGAAAAATTGATTATCTATAGGTAAAAAAATCGATTTTACTACACTTGTCGTGGAAAACATTTCAAACATTTGAAATAATTTGATACAAAAAACACGTAAATCAATGTAGCAAGTAGATCATTCGCGAGATTTGTGTGACATACAAAATATATATTTTTTATACTTTTACTTATCTTGGTGTTAATGTTAAAACAGGCTACACGGGAGAATGTGGATTTCGAGGAGGTTATATCGAAATGATTAATTTTGAACCTGAAGTAAAAGCTACGTTCTTAAAGAGTATTGTAGCAATTCATTGCTCTACTCTTGGTCAGGTGAGTTTTATTTACAATGTATCAAAGATTTGTTAAATATTTTGTTTAAAATGTGAAAACAGAAATGTGGTATTGCTTTTATTAATATGATTCGAGCATTTTACTCAAAACTGAATCAATTTGAATTTGCGACTCTCAGTTACAGTTTAAAAATCCAGCACAATTTTGAATCCTGACCTTATAAGCGGTGTGCAGATGTCAGCTTTAGGCCTGCACCAGACTTAACTGAGAAATTTCTTGCGAGAAATTTGCGTCGAGAAATGTGGAACACACCGACCCTCACACGCTCAGAAAGGTTCCTCGCTCGCCTTTTTGGGGGTGAAGGATTTTTTCTCTTCAAATGATCGGGCAGCAAGTTCTCTTCTTTGCCTTCATTAGTTTTTTGAAATTTCGGCGCACGCTGCCGCCAGAAAAAACACATCGGTGCGACAAGAGGGAATGATATTGCAATAATGAACAATGAAAGGTGTGATATACAACAAGTTTCTTCCGTTTTTAGTTGATTTTTTCTTTAAGCAAAAATGAATGAGAAAAAACTTGTGTTCGAAGTTTTTCTTACTTGTTAGAAAACGTTACATAATGAACAATATTAAATGAAATATTTGAAGAAAAGGATCTGAATATCGACAGAATTGAATTAATTTATTATTTTTCACAATTCATAATTATTGTTTATGAATAAATTTATAGTTTTTAACTTTATTATGAATTCTTTCATAATTCGCCATATATTAATAATTCAACTAAGTATTTTATTATACCTAGGTCAGTAATTCAAGAAAACATGCTTAGATTCAACTTCTCCATACCCGTTAAAATGATTGAACTGTTAAATTAATAGATAAATTACGCCTAAAGTAGCAATTTCACAATTTACTCATCAGATAATTCGAATAGATAATCGTAGATCGACTATTCGAATAATTTTTGTAAAATCCAAAACAAGGTTTTCACGAGTTAAAAGTGTACAATAGAATTTAATAAAACAGCAAATGTATCTCAGAGCTGATGTCATAGTCAGCTCTACAATCAAGACCATCCGTTTGTGGAATGTAAAGGCATTCCGAGACAACGAATGTCCAAATTCTATGGTCGCAGTGAGGTCACAGCTTCACTGGCCTGGTTTCACAATTCTCTTCCCACGTTTCTCGCAACGCATATTTCGTTGAAGTCTGTTAAAATTAATAAAATTCTAATTTAGGAAATCACTCTAGCAGTAGTTATTTGGCTGCCCGAGTGACGCCGCTTTCTAGGTACAGGTGCCAACGTTTCGGGCGCCATTCTACGTCCTTCCTCAGGGCTAAATGCCTAGGAAGCAGTAGCTTCCGAATTAGCCAAGAAGCTACTGACTTCGGCTGCGAAAGCCTACGCTCTCGAATACCTCTGGCATTCGTCTGATATTCATTGTGTAAATGACAGGAAACGATTTATCAGAGTAGTCTGCTAATAAAATGCTCTTTCCGGTAGTGGACTCACCCGCTCAGCTTCTTAACTAAAGGCCGAAAATCCTCCACCCTCGGGTCAAGAAGCTCTGTGTCCACGAAGAGACAGTTGCGAACTCGCAAGAACATCCGCCTACTCACTCAGTAATAGACATAACTCATGAAGTGGCCAATAGCATATGTTTGTGCATAATACATATGTTTGTGCATAATACATATGTTAGTACATTATGTAGCAATAACATTTGTTTATTCTCATCCTAACTGTACTATGAACAAGCATCTGAAGAATTTCAAGTCTTTAATCCTCTGAATTATAAGAGTCAATAACTGACAGTTTATTCTTCATAATTTTTTACGTTACGAACACTATTTACGTTACGCAAAAAGAATAATAATTATGTAGACAATGATCTAAAGATAATTATTACCCTTAAACCAATATCTACAGAAACCATTACAAATAAAATTATTACTAAGACAGCTTACCATGCTTTGTTTGTAAAGGTTTTTGTACATAATGGTTTAAGAAGTTTTTTGTACATAAAGGTTTATTATTGTATTTGCTTGTATCGAAAAAAATATGTACCAGAAGAAGAATCCAAATATATAAAGTTCGAAAAGTTGTAAAAATTTAACAAGAAGAATATGACTGTTAATAATTGGTTCTTATAATGCGATATTAAGTACAAACATAAATATATTTAAATTTAACCCTCCGACTTTCGTCTGATCAGTGTCGAGTACGTTTCTGCGCCCCCTTTCAAATGGGTCATTACATATGACATATTTTTACTAATACACAAATAAAAACTAGAAAGATAAATTATAATATTAATAATTATTATTAATAAATACAAATGATTTTATGTAGAACTATTTGCAGGTTTCCAGATCTGAAAATCCTCCTTCCCAAATGTCGTATAACAAATTTCCTAATTTATTTTTTAACGAATTAATTTTATTGTGAAGCCGTGTTGTAATTAATTAATTTATATTTATTATAATTATTTATAATGTTATTACTAACATTAAATTAACATAAAATTAGAATGAAGGCTAATGACCTCAGCTGTTTGTAAGGGCACCCAGAGTAAACAAAAGTTAAAAAACCCTAATTCTGACTTAAAGAAGAGAAAATAAGCGATTGAAGATATTTACATAAATAAAGTGTGCTTGACTTTGGGACCCATTGAAAATGTTCAGGGGGCGACACGGTTGCCTAAACGTAGCTACACGTACCTAATACATACATTATCATGCGGCTACACAATTTTGAATCTCCATGAGACATTTTTCCTGGGTGCCTAGGTAGCAGTGGACTGTGTGGTGAAGCCTCCTGAGCCGGGACAGCCATCCTACGAGTTGTTTGTCAGAGAAAAGACTGCAGTTCTGAAATCACTAGCTGAAAGAGCAGAAATGGTAGCAAACACATTCAACTCTATTGAAGGGATGTCCTGTAATGCGGTCCAAGGAGCGATGTACGCTTTTCCTCAGGTGAGTTTATGGCTTAGAGAATGCAGAGAACAATTGAGCTGAACTTTTAATTTTTATGCCTCTTTTATAACAACTTTCCCATTTTCAGCGATCCTAATCAGGGACAGATGCAGCCGATATTTTTTTTTGTGGGGAGGGGGGTATTACATTTTTTGTTAAATAATATACACAAATTTTAATATATTATATATTATTTTTGTAGGGTATTTATTATACGATACAATTATATTTTTTAAATAATTTCATAATTCTAACAAATATTTAAATAAAGTTTCCACATAAAGGAAAGAAACAAACGAAAACACTAGGCCTTTTTGGGGAGGGGCATGGCCTCCAGTCCACTCCCCCTGGGATCCGACACTGATCGTACAGTTGATAAACACTTGTCTTTAAATAACTTGTACAGTCCGATGAATTGAATCATATAATAATCGCCAATTTCCTTAAACACATTGCTTGTGATGGCTCAGTGTGGTTATTTGTCATTCCATCGGCATCGTCGCTGACCTTTAGGTCCTAGAGTTCGAGCTGTGACGTCGGTGGCGGATTTCGACACAAACTACACTGCTATAGGTCGAATTCAACCACAAAATCGAATGGGGGAGAATTCTGGCGGCCAAATGCTCTGATTGGTTGTTTTCCGTGACTTCTCCGATTAATACCAGACGAATACCGAAGCAGAACCTTATCAAACGGACACAGTCCGTCTTACCTTTCTCATCTTTGCCCCTTCCTCTTAAAAACACATACAATTACATCCACCTTACATGTTGGAAGACCATCGGTAAATTAGAACTTGTCGCCGCTTGGGTGTTACCCTGACGGGAGAGTCACCTCGAGGGAAATAGGGGCACGACAATGTAAGTCGGCGCTGGATCGTATGCTCTGTATGTAAAATTTAGAAAAAAAAAAAAACGTCTATGTCTTTTTTCATCAACCAATGCCTACAGTATGAATGTGACATATCCAAATGTTGAAATGTCTTTTGTTTGCAATGTTCTTTAAATATGATCTTCTACATTTTCTATAGTTTCTGAATTCTAAGAAAAATATTATTTGCGTGCGAGGAGGCAGCAGTATTTACTGCTGAGAACAACAACGAATATGTTGAACGTTATTAATATATATATATATATATATATATATATATATCATTGGATAAACGAAGTATTTTTGCCATATTTGCAGCAAGAAATCAATTTTCTCAAGAAGTGAGTTTTAGAAATGAAGACCTACAATGATAGAAATCGGACTTATGCGTGGCGCTTAGGGAATATGATGAGTCCTTTGGAAGAGATAGTTCATGTATTAGTTTTTTAGGACCAAGACTAGTTTTTCAAAAGTATGTATTGCTTGCAGATATATTTACCAGATAAAGCAATTCAAATAGCTGGAAAGCAGCAAATAAGTCCCGATACGTACTACGCGCTACAGCTGCTGGAAAACACAGGAATATGCATTGTTCCTGGTTCTGGATTTGGACAGAAGGAGGGTACACACCATTTCAGGTAAGCGACTTTATTTATTTGGGGAGAAATATTTAAGTGTATGGAAGTTTATTGAGTTTATATAATATCATCTCTAAAATAAATAAATGTTACAATAATAAAAGACATCTCTAAACAATTAATATTTTGTAGTAATATCGTGTATTACAACTACACTTGCTGTTGTTCTAAATTAATAAAGATTTTGAAGAAAGAAAAAATATGAACAGCCTGACTTATCAATTAATGTGATCTTTTTCAGGACGACAATACTTCCTCAGCATAAAAAGCTTAAAAAAATGCTGCAAAAATTCAGAACATTTCATGAAGAATTTTTGAAACAACATAAATAAGTATTACAATACATGCGTACGTCGTCTTGATTAGCTGAATCCCAGTTAATCAGACGTTTCGGGTTGTCTTCAGCAGTGAAGATTTTGTTTCTAAACAAAAATAAAGAAAATAATTTTGGGCAAAAGGTAGCCCTAAGTGAAAAATGAGAAATATGTTATTAATGAAGAATTTTAATGAACAGAATTGTGTTTTATGTTTTAAGAATACATTTTGCCTAAAATTGTAATAATCGGTTCCTAGTTAAACTTGTAGATGTCATTGGACGATTTCATTAAATTTGTTTGTTTCGCACTCTCTTGTATTCTACTTATCATTTTTTTAAATAATTTTTCGAAGTTTTGCTAATCGTTTGTTTATAATACTTTTTAGAGATTATATCGAAACGAAAGAATTACTCCACAGCATTAACTTAATATAAAGAAAAAAATATGATTTACATTTTAGTTGTAAAAACCTTTTTGGGCGAAATTGAAATGAAAAATTATTTTGCGACAATTTTGAAATCCCTATGTGTATTTTCGAAACACAACCCACATAACATCAATCGCTACGGTCATAGAAAAGAATTTACAGAAAATGTTGTAGAATATAATATTCACAGATTATCTAAATTACAACAATTTATTTGTTGTCTTATGAAATACATGATAAAGATCTATTAAAAAATATTTTTACATTTTCTCAACTTTCCGGTCACATAATTCAGTGATTGCTGAATCATAGACTAAGGAGGTATATATCATTACTCTATGGCCAAAACCATTGATCGAGGAAATTTTCGATGGATCGCAGTTACCATCAGCTTGTCTGACATCGAGTATCTCTACCATGGAGCTAGGATGGCATGTCGTCACAAATTTGAAGCTACCTGAAGCAACGATCCGCCATATTGGTGTACCCAAAACGCTTTAGGCGTCCTCCGGTTTTATTTGTCGTAGTTTTTAATATTCCAAGCCATGATCAGATTAACAAGCATTCGTAACTATTCGTCATGGTTACGTGTGAGTCTTACTGCTGTAGAACTCGTTCGGGAAACGCGTTAATTACTTTTCTCAGGTAAGTAGTTACTTTATGTGGCTTAGGGAATTATGACTGCAAGGAAGAGGTGGTATGAATTCAAAGAGGTGGCATTACCAACCTCTTCCATGTTTAAGTGATGCCAGTCCGCCATACTGGTGTGCTCAAAACACGTCTGTCAAGCACGTGTAGTAAGTAGGTAGTACCCATTTTCAATGGAATTTAATAATCTTAGGAATATTGTAGAGTATAATAACGCAAAGGTTCATTACAAAGTATAGGGTCACTGTACAGTATTTTCGTGAAAATAAAAAATTACCTCAAACTTAAAACTTCAAGAATACATTTTTAGATGTGCTTCTTCGGCCTTGAGATTTTATCACACGATCTCTCAAAAAAAGTACACAAATAAATAAAAACATCACGCTACTAACATTCTGAAAGAGCATATTATGCACAAATTATTACGAAATAATCTTAGAATTAGTGTTGTCACAATATTCGAAATATGGCTACCAGACTATTCGATTTAAAAAAAGCACATTTTCTTCCTTTTTCATTTGACTATTTTCTTACATAAACATTAAGTATTTCCATCCGAAGTCAAAAGAGCAGGGACCAAACGTTTAAGAATTTGTAGATGGGCCAGTAATACAATTGATGTCAACATTATGCAAAATTAACGGAGTTCTTTGAAGAAGAAGTCAAATATAATAATATTATTTATATTTTTGAAAACATCTTCAGTGAATGATTGTTCCTGCTTAATTTACTTCTCTAAGGTGTGCTAGAAAAGCCGCTAAAATTGTTGGAACGAGTTTCCACTAACGTACGTATCATAAAGAAGTTCTATCAAAATCCTCTTCAAGGAAATGAACCGAGCAAACTTATTGTATGTACAATGCTGCCAGTTGTCTTTCCACACATCTAATCCTGTTAGGAGGTTTATATCCTGCAAAAATAGATATAGTTTTACCACTAATTTCAAGTAGTACGACATCTCCATGGTTTCCTGACGTAGGTGTCGGAACTTGCGCGTGTTTAACGTTCTTTGATATAAAGATAGCTGTACCGCCTGCCATCGAGCGAAGTGGTTCAAGGCGTAACGCGCTGACTTTATATTCGGGAGGTCCAGGTTCAATCCTTTTGACGGCCATCCTGCCCGCGGTTTTCGTTGTTTCCCTCGGTCACCCAGCGAATGCTGGAATGGTTCTAATGAATTATTTTTTTCTAAGTCTACTGCATACACTGGAATGGGCTGTATCTCCTTATTATATAGTCCACACACTTTCAACACTTGTAGATTCAAATTAATAAGTTCGTCTTTAATATATTTTTGTGCTTGTTAGGTATGTCCTTCAGTGTCACTGGTAGGGTCTCTTGAGTTGGATCTCTTAACGAGTAGTATTTAATGCTTCGTTCATCACAATTTTTTTTGAAACTGTGAAAGTCTTTAATTGAAGTGAGGATTATTTTCACTGGATGTTTGTAAGGTTTAGTGGTAAAGTCTGCTTTGGCTATATTTTTTAATCTGATTAACTTATTATAATCATCTATTTCGTAAAGCTAATGGGAGGGATTTTCATTTGCACTTATTCCAATAGACTGTGCTCCATGGGATCATTGTCAATATTTTCTATCACTTTGTATCTGTTATAGATGAGACAAGAATATTGTAACTGGTTTCATTACGCTCTTCAAGGAACGTTTTGCCCTTCTTACAGTTCGCTCTGCTATCGTCGGTCACTTACATGTGGATTTTGTGAGGTAGAACCGAGAGTACATACGTCAATTTGTTGGTTTCCTTGTGCGGAAACTGTTGCTCCTGGTTGAGGGAGGTCATATCACGAGGCCTGTGAAACACTATTATTTTCTGCAGTGATTGCGGCTAAGTTTGTCCTTGTTGCGCGAGTTTCAGTTGACGTTGCAACTGATGAAGTTGTAGTTGATATATCTGCTGCAGTTGGAGTTGTAGATGACCTGGCAGATGTTGTAATACCTGGCAGGATGTTCACATGATCACTTTCAGTATCTACTTTGTTTAAGATGTCCAAGGCACTTTTAACAAGTTGCCCCGTTAAGGGGCTGCGTTTACTGACATTCCCAATAACTGATGTTAGTGAGTCACAAAACCAATGTTTTTTAAAATAAACTTAGCCCGAATCCGGACTGAGTAATTTCATCCGAATCCGGACTTGGGCTCCAAATCCGACTATCACCACCTAAACGCTTATCTTGAGGCGAAGGTAGCGCAGCGGGACGTGCGTATGTTGCCATTGTTGGGACGAGACTCAAATAAATCAAATACAACAAAGCAAATGAACAAACAAATCGAATGAAACAAAGAAAACAAAATACTTTCGTTGACTGCGTCAGCAACTTCTGACCTTAACGCTTATGCGCTCAAACGTATCTTACTTTGCATCTACAGACCTCTGAGAAAGCGACCTATAGATTATTTCGGTTTCTTAAAAGGTGTAGAGATACAGACGAATACATCAAAATAATATCCATGTAGGTACATGCAAAAGATTCGAATACTGTAGCATAATGTTCAATTTCTTACAAATAAAATAGAATTTATCGATGCAGCATTACAGTGTAATCTAAGTAAAATTTATTTATTTATACAAACGGCAACAAAAAACGGATATGGCTGCTATCAAGAAATATAACAAGTTTTAATTAATTTACAGTAAAGTAAATTTATAATCTTATGTCACACAGGCGAGAATACAGTCTTTTAAATTTGGAGACTTTGCTGGCTGATATGAACTCTTGTGGAAGACTATTCCAGTAATTAACTACTACCAGAAGCCAGTTGGTTTGCTTCTGAACGTACATGTAGCTTCATTAACCGAACGTTTTGTTGAGCTCTCCTTCTGCTTGTAGTGGTTGGTGTAGAGCCGGGTGTATGCAACTATTTTGTCAACAATGAATATATCAGTATTTCATTTACTTACATTACATAAGTTTTCTCTAATTCAAGAGAATTTTTTTTCAAATGTTGCGAATTTAGGGCTTTTAAAAGTTTATTGTTATTCTTTAATTAGTTATATTATAATATAATATATAATAATATATTATTAATATAATAATATTGAGGCAACATAAAATACCCAACGGGATTTTTGGCATTTTGAAACAAAACCTTTAATGTCAAATAGCTCGCACAATATAAGCAATTGCGCAATGAAGTAAATTAATATTAGACGTTGAGAACGTAAAGAATCAGAAAATCCAAATATTAATTGGAGTTAATAAAATTTGAACCATTTAGGATTTTTTCCGAAAATATAGCAAAAAAATATATTTTTGATAGGCGACAAATGGATGGCATGGAAAGTGAGGATCGATGGCCGTCAAGGCATTGTGTAATAATATTTTTGTGATTAGTCCGAGGAGATAGAAAACGGCCATGGGGCCTACAGATAACGGGAGAGTAGCGAAATAATTTAAATGAGATTTTCCGAAAAGAAATCTGATATATTCGTGAGATAAATAGATCGCGAATAAGAATAGACATTTTATTAGTCGAAATTCAGTGTGGACATAAGAAGAGCTCCAGATGGAATTGAAACAGTCCCTGACGGCTTTAACAACGTCATATCAAGACTGCTGTAAATTCTGCAAAGGGGAAGACTAGGCAATAAGTGACATATTAATAAAAATATTATAAGATGGCCAAGTCATACTCGTATTTAAACATGAAGTTAACATTAAGATTAAGAATGAGGTATGTGTGTTTTGTTGGTAGGTTGGTAGGAACATGATTGCCATCAATAGACTCAATAGAGAAATAGAACATATTGTTGAACAAAATTAACTAAATAGAAAGTTGAAATGAATAAATCGTGTCAGCCGACCCCTAATGTCGCTGGCAAGTCATAAGCAATCTTTGTAGATTGTTTAATTTATTAGTAACAAAGATTCCCTAACAATAATTAAATTGTTCACCACTGGAACACTTGGTATCGGTATTTTGAGGCCCGCAAGACAAGGTATAAACCCTGAGAAGCATAAGTATGCTGGCACCCAGAAAATTAAATTAAAAACAGAGCTAACCACCCCAATAATTACGAAGAGAGAGAAAATTTTATAAGAAGAAATTATTTTGATTTACTTCAATATAATATAATAATGTATTATATTATTATAAATATTATAACATAATATAACTATATATTTAACGTATTATTATTATTATTATTATTATTATCATCATCATCATCTTTATTCACAGCTTTCTGGAATTACAGCAATCACCAACAGATAATATCCAATATAGCGATGATCACTTATTACTTACAAGTACTAATAGCTTTACAGTTTTCAACAG